ACTAGTTTCTTTGTATTCTCTCTTGTTGTCCACTTCTTTCTTATAGTAATTTATTATCTTGGATCCTTTACAGTATTTCTTTCCACACAGAACTTCTCTCCCATGAAAGCAGCCAGTACCAATGTACAAAGGTCCTCCACTTGCATCTAATCCTGGAAGCTCTACCTTCACAATCACCAAATAATAACAAATCAGATACAGTTTGACCTCTTTATAACAACATTTCTATATAACAGTTATTCACTATAAAAACCAAGTTTTTCTCGGAACCGATTATTATATTATGTAATAATATATGTCTTCTATAACAACACTTTACTATAACAACCAAAAAATATCGGAACAAACGACGTTGATATAGAGATGTTTTGACTGTATATGAATCCTTATTAATTACTCCCTCCATTCCAAGTTATGTGACGTAGTTTGGCTCGTCATTGCTTACGAGAGAAATGAAGACTTTTAAAACTTGTAGACTAGTCTGAAATATACTCTAATACTTGTATGATTGTGTAAGGTTTTTAAAATTTGTGGTTTTAAACATGTCATAACATTTGTGTGACTATAAACTTGTTATGAAGAGTAAAATGAGAAATTTAACTTAAATTGTTTCCAAATTTAAAAAGAGACATTCTTTTTTTAAACATACGAAAAAGGAAATAGAGTCTTCACGTAAACGGAAACAGAAGGAATAGTAATTAGATGTATTATTTTATATAGGGATAGGGTTCTTTAATTACAATAACTTATCTCAAACTTGGTATATAGCTCTTACCTCAGTAATTACACGTAAATAATTGCTGTAAAGATCATTCTTGGTGATATTACTAAATTGCTGAGGATATTGTACAAAAGCAATGCCATCGCTTTGTTCTTCATCTAGGAAAAAGCACAAGGCATCTCTCACTGATTCTGAATTGTTTGAGTACATGTCACAATCCACATTCAGAATAATAGGACTGTTGCTTATTCTTGCTGACACCCTTATCTGTTCATGTTTTTTTTTCTTCAAAGAGTCAAATAATGGTTACACCAAATTGTCTGACATTAAGGAAAAAAAAACAAGAACTTTATTGGTGTGAAGCTTGTTAACTTAAAATAGTTTAAGTTCTATGCGGCGACAATATAAATAATCCACACAATTAATTAGGTCATTGTATTGTTCAAAGTTTAACTTATATACAACCGATAATATAAAGAAGATTTTATATTGTTAGATTATCCGGAAGATATTTATAAGTAACCCTCCATAAAAAATTTAATGGAGTTTGTAATCTTGAAAATAAGATAAGTTAGTGGTATAATAGGTAAATGGGACGTAAAAATTCTTTATATTATCAATGGATGTACTAGTTAAACTCAATGGAAAATTACAAGTAAATCTCTTGATAAATGTTAATTGATAATCTGCTAAAAGAAATAACATATCTGATATAACAAGTTAAATTTTCATTGATATTATAAAAGCATCTTCATACCATTAGTTTATATAACTAAAAAATAAGTTAAAAGCGGGTAACTCGGTACACAAAGTATTCCGCATTCACGCAGGGTCCAGGGAAGGATCGTATCCCAAGTGGTGTAATGTAGGCTGTCTATCCTAATGCAAGCATCGATAGTTGGTTTCACGGCTCGAACTCGTGACCCATAGGTCATACGGAGACAACTTTATCGTTGCCCGAAGGCTCCTCTTCCCAAAACAAAACAAAAAAAACTAAGTTAAAAGAGAGCAAGTTAATTACCAAGGCATTCATGGCTCCTGCTTTGAAGTGATGGTGGTGTTGGGGTCTCTTTTCTCTTGCCAGGTATACTAAAGTTGGAAAAATTTGTCCTACCACATCCACATTTTCACTACTGTCAATTAATATCTGCAACAAATTGAAGCAAATATTTCAGTAGAAATATCAAATAAACTTTATGTTCACTTCTTTGAAAAGAATGAAAAAACGCTTATTTACTTGGATGATAGTGTGATGGTCTTTGCTTGAAATGAAATTCCACTCTCGAAATCCTTTATGTTGTTTTCTCAGCATTTCAGGGACATGGCCTTGCCTTGTAATTTCATCAATCCTTTTAATCATAGCTTCGTATAGCTTCTGTAAGTTAGGCATATAGACAAAAACAAGTTAAGAACGATATTAATCTGTTTTGATTCAGAAAGAAAGGGCCAGTGACCCACTGTTCAAAACTCGGTAGATAATAGATATGCCTCTTTACCCTTCTCCACTTAAATATCTGTCTTTTGTCAACTACACGATTCGAACATTTGACGTGCTCCTAATACATATTGCGTGTTGCAATCATACCACTAGACCAAGCTGACATATAAGTTCCTGTACTAAAAATTTAGGGTTTAAGTGACTAATGATGTAAAAAATATTTACACTATCAGGTCACTTATTATGTAATTACAAGTATATTTTTTGATAAGCATTAATTTGTAATATAATAAAAGTGGTAATTAACATGCTGTCACAGATTAAAAGTCACTAATAACGTAAAAACAATTTTACACTATCAATATATATATATA